TCTCTCCTCGTTATAGATAGAACATTGAGCAGAGTCTTATGAAAACAATTTATGCTTTTAGCTATTCTGCTGACTTTCAGACTTTCCGCCGCTGCAGCTGCTCAGTTCGTCGCGGACCGCCACTGTTTCTCACAGACAATAAGGTAAACTTTGAAGAGATCCATTCAAAAGAAAACCTCTTCTTTCGTTCCCATAAAGACTGGAAGCCCTTTAAAGCTGATTGGCTGAAGGGAATAATATCAATCTAAAGTCTGCTACTTTGGTACAGTATATGAATGCCCTATACAGTATTTCTGACTCGTTGACAACGGTAAGAAATACCTTTTCACTTTTCTGATGCACAGCCAACCCAGCCCTCTGAGAACTGGTTGCAAATAAATGCATAGAAAACGCGAAGACCAACGATTTTTGGATCCAAAAAAAAATTAAAGTTGATTGTTTAACCCAACTGACTGAGCATCAGATGGTCCATTTGACTATATAGCAGCCGATGAGAGCTTTGGATGAAGAGGAGCAGAAGGCTATGGAAAGAGCAAAAATCCTTCTCAAAACATATAAAAACAGATAACTATTGGGGAAAGCATGCAAATAGAACAGGACCTGCGAAACTTGCTCTTCATTTTTTTCTTTAATTATTCGTACAAGAACTATCTAGATATAATTTAAAGTACTCGATAACCACAATGTTATGTGGCCCAAGTAATTCATTAACCGTGCCTGATCTTAAATTTCCAAATTTTATTCTGCGCTAGCTCCTTGTCAGGAATTATAAGTCCTCGAGAAGTTGTCAGGTTGCCAATGTGCTGTTCAGTGCAGTCTGTTTTTGGAAAGTCTTTTAAATGAAGGACACTAATGCAAGTCATAAGCTGCTTTCGTGCTTTCGGGGTACACATCTGAACGTCAGCTCTCACTAAGTTGAGCATTGGGTGAATAAATTGCTTTGGCTCACCAATACCCAGATGCTCCAATCTCCCGCGCGCGAAAAGGTGTGGCCTCATAACACTAAGTAACTTATTTGTAAATCACATTCTTCACTGTGCTGACAGTGTGCAAAAGCCAAAATGCATTCTTTCTTTCTTTCTTTTATGAATTGCAGCCATCAAATCTGCGCTTATTACCTTAGCTCACAAAGTTATCCACGTTCAAAGATCGCATTTTCAAAAGAGTTCGCTTGTCAAGTCTTGTTTAGCCAACCTGCATGCCTCTAGGCAGAGCAATGAAACAAAGCGCGGCTGTCACTAGCTCATACAAAGATCTACTTTCTAGCACTGCATTCTAGCACTTCGTTTTGCTTGCTGACTCTATCGCTGTCCTGCTGAGTAGGGATTTCTTAGCCGCTCTGGAAACCAGCAGGTAGGGAAAAAGTAGGACTACTACTTTAAATAAGCTTCCTAGTCTTTTTCCTCGAAATATAAAATCGGATGATATTAAATTGATAATTCAAATAGCAATGAAAAATTTCTCCTTTCCTGAAACTTTTTTGCTTATATCCAACATTTCTCAAGTGCTCAAAATGTTTAATGCAAGGTACATTTGTTTATGACAGTTTAAATTTTTGCTTCTAAAGGAATTCATTAATATTTATGAGAACACTAGAAAAGGGATGAATATCATTAATTTATCACCTAACTTTGCAACCACAAGATGCATACTTAAAAATAAAATCAAATTCTGAAGCTCTCTTCAGAGACCGAAAGCTTCTCGAGAAGTGCTTTGGAACCAAAATGAAATAAACATCCTATACAGAAAAAAAGTGCCTATTTCTACACAAGAGGCAGGAAAGAAGTAATTTTTCACAATGCTTCATGAACATTTTCAACTTTTTAACGGAATAATGTTTAAAACTCATACCGATGGCACTTACACACACTCGTAATCAACAAACTTCCACAGATTCAACAATCAATCTCTTCTCCAAATATACAAACGAAGACAACAAAGCCTTTAAACTAAAACAGTGACCTCACGTTTATCGTCTATAGACAACTATTTCACAAAAAACACTGAGTCACAACAGATCTTTAAGGCAATATCCACAGTTTTCTTTGAAAATTTTCCTCTAAATTTCTCTAACCACGTTGTCCTCCTCTCCCACATAAAACAAACTCAATCCACTCATTATGGCCCGTCATTTCCAATCACAAAATTCAAAGCTGTTAATTCTCCTCTGCATTTTAATGTAATCATCGTGTACCTAGGTAGCTTAAAATACGTGAACACAACCGGCGCATTTCTTTTCGAACACACAACAAAGCACGTCCTTAAAAAAATTTTTTTTCTCGAAATGAACAATACAACTCTCGGTTCCTTATCCTGCAGATACCTTTCTCAAAGGCCACTCGCAATATTCTCAAAAGTAAAACTATAGAACCTAATCAACCCCAGTCTAAAATGCTCAACTTCCTAACACTCTTCTCTTTATCTTTCTAATCTCTTGAAAACCAAAAACATTGACTTCTCAAATACAGCAGCTCAAGATCGCAGTTACAACGAGATATATTTGAATAATTCCGCAAAATTCTTTTTACTAAGCGGATTTAACCCGACAGCAGACGACTTCACCTGATAACTGAACAAGCGGAATGTTACTTAAATCTTTTGATAACAAACGAAGCAAGCGACGACTTCTATAAGTTAAATCTTCTGCCTGCCGCCCTTCTGCCTATACTAGCAAAGCAACAAAAAGTTTCCAATGATTACTCATCTTCAACACCTGAACTTCATATCTAAAGAACGGTCAATTTTTCAAGAAATTACCATCTCCGTTTTTTGTAAAAAGCTCACTGCCAGATAAATCAGCCCTAGACATGCAAATATCAGCGAGAACCTTACAGACTTGATGAAACAATTATCACGCAGATAAAACATCATTAGGCTATTACTAAAGTGTACTAAACATTTTCTCGATATCACCACACCGTTATCATAATTTGAGACAGTTCCCGAAAGCAAATAGGCCTGTTGCTCGAATTTATCAGTAACTAAATGCAGATCTCGCTCTAGTTTCATGGCAGACATACCCAACATTACTCATGATTTGGGCCGCTCAAGAAGCAGAAGAATTCTAACTGCGTAGTTTCCTTCCCAGTAAATATTCACAACAACTTTTGTTATTACTTGCAAGACAAGTGGCTTACTCGGATTACCTACAAATAGTTCTGCGTTCTCAAAAGCAGCATCAAAACTACGATAATTTTCCATTTGCAATTCTGAAACTATCTGCTGTAGCTTAATTTCCCTCAACTGTGTAATTTTAATCGCGCGTTCCAAATTGCGTAATTTGAATAATTCAAGCCTAACTTTCATTGCATAATTTGAACGTGGTGTTAATACAAATTCAGCTACTATATCGGTACACTTACCACCGACTGCACGTTTTTGAGCATTCTTGAGTCATGAGGTCG